GAAAGAGATAGTGGCAAGTTATCAGAGGGAGAGTAGCATTAACACAAACTACTGAAAAGTTGCTATGGTTACAGATAAAGGTAATCCCTGTTTCTGTGAAAGTGTGTCGTTTTGTAACAGCTATATTAATCAGTGTGATTTCTGAGAGAATTGGAAGTATACAAACTTCTGGCTCCATTTTCTTGGCAGCTAATCACTATGCAGCTTTTTCTATTTTTTTTTCTTTTTTTAGTGCTGAATGGGCTATGACTTGCATTCAAGATACTTGATTTGAGCTACAAAGAGTATTATAGATTACATATAAATGTGCTTGGACTATGCTCAATTCAATGGAAACTGTAGTATGCTTATTTTTGCTCCACCCAAGAGATACCTGATGTCAAGGAAATGTCTTTTAAAATGTGTAGATCCTTTTGCAAGGACTTTGACTAAGGCAAGTGTTGTGGCCGTTCATCACCAGAGGCCTTGGTGGTGCAGCTGTACAAGTTACAGTTCCATGTCCCGATTAAAAAACAAACAAACAACCAAACAAACCCCAAAACCCACTAAACCAAAGAACTCCGCCCAACCAACCAAATCACAGCCCCCCAAAAAACCCCAACAACCCACGAACAAACCCCCTCAAACTAAACCAACATGGCAACTGCTGAGGGATTGAGACCTGTTATGGATGTCCAGCTTTACAGGCCAGGGGAATACGAGGCAGGACAAACGATTCTGTTAAGGGTTTATTCCCTACACAGGAGGAGACAGTTGGGATTTAACATGAATGAGTAGCTAAGATTTGGGTGGTTTGAGGCAGCTGCTAAAACTGCCAAGGGAATGTGTTTGTCTGGTGTATCTGTGCTGCTGTCCAGACGAGTCACCAGACCTCTCTGAAGAGCCGGTATTTACCACGTGCACCTCTTTGTTGTTTCCAGGTCTGAGTATTGCACAGCAGTGGTACATCTTGGATTGAAAACAGCAAGAGGAATCTCAAAGTTCAAGATTACTGAAATCTCATCAGTCTGGTATGTTCTCTTTAAACTCCTGGAACAGCAAGTTGAATTCTTTTTATGTGAGGGCCTCCTTAGTTACAGCTAAGGATTAAGTTTCCTGGTAGGTTTCTAGGATCTTGGCTTTTCATCAGCAACTTAATTCCTAGGAAGTAATACACTACTGAGGACTGTGACCTGTGTATTGCTGGGGTTGTGTAGAAGACTGTTTTTGGTAGTGGTGTTTGTAGCAGGACAATGAACTCCTGCTCCCAGAACCTTCAGTCAACATACACTCTGAACTTGTTTTCATCTTGCCTATCCAGTTTGGAAATTCCAGGTACTTATGCAGACTTTTAAAACTGAAGTCAGGTTGGAAAGGGGCTATTGCTGACAAACTTTGCAGAAGCTGCACACTGATTTATTGAAGAATGTGTAAGAATATGAAAAGAAATGTTGGTTTCTTCAGTCAGGGATTTTTTTTTTCCCGCTCTTTATGCAGAGGTTGCCCTTATGAAGTTAATGTTGTATGGGTTTGATAAAAAATTAGTAATAATGTCTCAGAATAATTTCTCAAATGCCAAAGTTCTGAAATTGCTATGCTAATGTGCTTTTAAAATTGATGTATTTCCAAAAATACCCAGCAAGTTTGAGAACTATTGTTTATAAACAGGATTGCAGCATCTGAGGGTGTGAAAGGAATGCGAAGCTAAATACTACTTTCAGGTCTGTCTCTAATAAGAAAAGCAAAGTCAGAACTATAATAATAAGAAATAAAAAGTTCAGCATATTAGTGCTGACATAATTGACAACCAGAGGGTAAAGTCCTTTTCTCCAATGCCAGTTCAGTATGTGCAACCAGCAGATCAGTTCCTTTGCTACTTATTAACATGTACAGAACCAGGAGGTGTAATGTATTCAAGACTGAAAAACAGGTGCAAACCACTGAAGAAAGCTCTCGTGGTTCACACTGATCTCTTGGGAACTGGACAGCAAGTAACCATCTCTCATCTAATCCCTGAACAGCTATCACATGTAGCTTTTGATCACTACTATTCTTGTCTCTGTTTGAACTGGTGACTTAAAGATGAAAGGCTCTGTTCTTGATCTCTTGAGCTGTCAAGTCCTCCAAACTTGCTGTCTTCTGTATATGTAAGATTACAGAACAAATGGCCCTTTAGCTGTTTCATGATTACAATAGTCAGATGAGAGTCAGGTGCTTTCTGTTACTGTCCTCAGTGCGAAGTTGGGTGGCACCAAACTGATTTTTTTTTTTTTTAACACTGCTGTCAAAGCTTCCCTGTTTAATGTTCTTGCAGCTGCAATCTGCTATTTCCAGGCTTTTTCTGCATTGCCACAGATATTGTAAGAGTAGCGAAGGCTTAACTTAAGCCTGGACCTTAAAGTGGTGCCATTGCATTTTCTCCAGAATGTATGTGTGTTTACAGGGAAAATAAGTGGCTTTTGTGCAGAAACTGATGCTAAAAAATTAGGTTTTTTTAATGTCTAGTTTCACTAGGTCTCCTTCAGTGTGGGATAATAACTTGAATAGCAGTTTTTTTATGCTCAGATTGCTAACATCTGGATACAGATTGCTAATCCAGTGATCTAGGGAACCTTGCAGGATACCCCACTTAGCAGATGATGTGGGAATCTTCACTTTTATGAGGATGGCAAACTACTCTTGGGGCATTTGTAGTATTACTGACAGTTGTGTTGTGTGGGTGGGTTTGTTTTGGTTTTAAATGAGATGAGGTAAGCAAATCTGGGTGGTCAGTGCTGGATGGAGGAGAATATGTTTTGCCATCCCCCTTGTGCTCTTGGTGAGCTATGCTCTTGCTTTATCAGAGACTGGCCAAGCTTCTGCCAACCCAGAGATTCGGAGGCAGGTGGAAGGGGCTGATGAGCACCAGAGCTGGGCTGTGGGAGTTGGCCAGACTGCATGAAGGGGGGAGAGGTGAGGAGGAAAAGGGATGAAATGTCTCCCTCTCAGTGATAAGAGCTCCTGCTTGCCTGAGTAACAGAAGCATGAGCTGAAGTGTTGGATGTTTGATGATAAAAATTACTTTTTGTTGCTGTTGCCAGGTGGTGAAACTGCTGTGGTAGCTATAGAGCTGGAAAGTTTTGGGGTAGTGTGTTTTGGGTTTTCTTTTCCCCTCTCCTTTTGAAAGTACCCAAACAACACCACTGACTTTAGGGTTCTTGTGTCTTCTAACACTAGGCAGTTTGGTTGATATGATTTGTGACTTGTGCTGCTGTTTTTATGGGCCTAAAGTTAATGTGTTCTAAATTGAAGCTTTCCAAGATTGGTTACTGTGATACCTAAGGGACACTTTACTAGTCTGTTTTGTTTTCGTGAACTGTGTTCTTGGTTTTGATTGCTTAGATAAGAGTTGGTCAAAAAAGTGTCATGTAAGTGTGACCTCAGGGTTATCCTCAGGGGACCCGAGATTAACCTCCAGCAGTGCTGGCTCTGGCAGGGCACTGAATTCAGATGCAAGGGTTAAGGTCTGCTCCTTTCAGCTTGTATTTTAGGTACTGAGGGGGAAGTTATGTGAATATTGTTTTTTCTGTGCTTGTTTCATACATAGCAACTTACAGCTGTACCAATTGCTGCTTTTCGGTCCTGTTTGAATTTGTGGCATGGTAGGTTGCTCTAAAATAGGAGGTAACACAAAATGTGCTATTTCACAGTTTTAGAGAGTTAAATATCCTTCTTGAAGGTGTTTTTTATGCTCTTTTTGGTGTTTCACAGCTCAAGGGAGTACTTAGCTGTAAATATTTTCTTGATGTTATGTGGTATTTGCTAAACTGCCTTGGACTTTTTAATCTCTATTAGGGAAGTTAAAACATGTCCATTTTGTGGTATTGGCAGTGGGTGAAGTAAGGCAAAGCAGGCAGCTCCAGCACTGGGAGAGGAAAGGTGGCAACAGCCAGAAGAACAACCTAAATGTGGTTATGCTTCCTCTAGCTTAATATTTTTTAGTTATTTTACACTAAACACATGAAAATCTTTTATGCAAGGCAGCCTTGCTGCCCAGATAAGTCTTGTGTAACCATGATGATACTTTGTGGGTGCAGGAGGGAACACTGTGTGGCTCTTCCTCATGTTGCTTGTTTGGAATGGGGCAAGGTTTGTCTCAAACCAGGTGTCATATCTGCCCTTGTGAAATATTTATCAAGCGTTGTTTATGTTTACTTTTCTTTTCACTGTATAGATGGGTAGGGAACCACATCAGTGTTTGCACTGAGGAAAAAGAAACACTTTTAATCTAAGGATTAAAAGGACAGGGTTTTGTCTAGTGCTGAGAGGAAGCTGTGCCGTGAGAAATGCTGTTGTCACAACGTGACCAGGATCTTGCAAATTCGTTCAGCCGAGTGAAGCCTGAATAAGCACAAAAAGTTTCTGGCAGGAGCCGTGGTACCTTGTGGGATGGAGACAGTCACTTCCTGCGGAGCTCCTGCTGACTCATGCTTTAAATGGGTGGAAGTCTTTGGAACCGGCGACCCGATGTATTTTTAGCCGGGGTTACTAATTTATATAGTGTGCTCGGCCTCCCAGGGCAACTCCAGTCACCCTTAAAGCGCGGACGGGCTCCAAACACACATCTAATTTTATCCCCGAAGTGGAGCAAGCAGCAGTTGTGTAATTGCCGCGGGAGAAGGGAAGAGAAGGTGCTCTGCTGTCCCCCATCCCCGGTCCCCCTGGCCGGGGGGCTGCGTGCCGGGAGGGGTGGGCGCCCCGCGGGGTCTGCGTGTCCCGGGGGGGCCGTGGGCTGTCACGGCGGGAGCGGGACGCGGCCCCTTTAAGAGCGCGCGCCGGGGGTGCCCGAGCCCGCCCAGCCTAACCTGCTAGCGAGGAAAAGTTCTTTGCGTGACGGACAGGCCGCTCCGCCAATCGGCGAGCGCGGCCCGGCCGGCGGGGCGGGCCCCCTCCCGCCTCGGCCAATGGGAGCGCGGGGGCGGGGCCCCGCGGCCGGGGTAGGTTGCGCCGAAGTGCAGCTCCAAGTGAAGTTAATCTGGGGTGAAGCGAGCAGAGAATTGTGCAGATCTTGGTGGTAGGAATTTTGCGGTTCTAATCGCGTCGTGTGGCGTCGTTCCGCCCGCCAGGGCAGCGGAGTTCATGTGCGTGGGGCTTTTCCTTCGTCGTTTCGCTCGCTAATGATGGCAGGATATTAACATTTATGCAGGGAAGCAGAACAAAAGGGCTCTTTAGACAGGAAATAAGGTGCTGAGAGAGGCTCAAACTTGACCGAGTTTCTTTTGTCATCTGTCGGCTTGCACCGAGTGTTCTGGCGTGGAAGAATCGAGTGGTTCCACATTATCTTATGGAGAAATGTTAATTCTAAAATAGCGAGGATAATGCTGCTGTTTTGGAGTTACACAATGTTACAGGAAGAGAGCTCGATTTTAACTCTAACTTCCCTGATTCTGATGAGATTGGAGGTAACTAATTATGACAGCTGCTGTGGGATTATTCAGTGATAGCATTTGCTCCAAGTCGTTTGTCTTAAATTGTCCTTTGTTGTATCACTGAAGGCTGCTGTGCTGTTGTCTGTGTGTTTGTTCTTGATGAGATGAATGTCTCACAGGTCTTTAGCGTTTAGAACAAAGATATGTAAAAACTATGTAAAACATGGCAATTTTTCTCTTTTTTAATACATTTTATAGGGTGTCTGGGTCTGTCAGAGCTCTGATTACAAACACAGGCAGAAAAATTAAATGTTACTGCTCTGTGTTGCAGCTACTACCCTTCCAGCCAAAAAAAAAAAGGGGGGGGGAAATTGTATTTTTTTTTTTTCTTTTGGAAAAGGTCCGAATCTTTTTGGAAACCTGTATTGTCTAAAGATAACAGGTGTTTTATTTGAGGGAAGGTTATTTTCAGTTTGTGTACCAGGTTTATCATATATGGTATTTTTAGTGACACTGAGCATCTGAAAGGGCTTCAGGAACAGGAAAAGTATGATTTGCCGTGGGTGGCATGGGATAGGGTGAGAGGGGGGAGAGCAGGAAGTGGTGAGGCAGGAAGCAAGGGAGGTTCTAATGAGGATAGAGACTTTCTTTTAATTGCCATCCTTTCTGTATCTTTGACAAGTATGTTAGATGAGGCCTTATACAAAACAAGGCTTTCAGACTGGGAAATGTATTTTCTTACTTCCCTAAATATTTCCTGATTTTTGTAAAATTACTTGTTTGTCAATATACAGCTGCTCCTGGGAATTGGAAAGAAATACTCATGCCCCTAATACTTGTTGAGTCTAAGGAGCTGATGGGTTGATGGGTTTTGTATGATTAGTCATGGTGATAGAAGAATGGATGTGAAAATTGAGCAACAGTCTTCCAAATGACCATGGAACGCAATTGCTTAGACCTCTGTTGAATGTAAACAAGTGTTATTTTTAAAGTATACCTTATTCTTTCAAGTTTTGCATCTAGCCATTCTGTTTTCTCCCAAAATGCTGGGTATAGATTACTTTTACATATGTCAGTGTCTTGACACACTGGCATCTTGCCATGGTCCAGTGGTTTGTAGGTCTGAATCACTAATTCACTCTTGCGATCTGTCTTTACCTGTTTATAACGTTTTTAAATGTTCTGAATTGTATTTAAACCCTGGAAATACTGTCTTAGAATAAGCAGTGACTATATATGGTCTTTTAGCTCAGAGGTGGGACAGATTTCCTGTATCAGGGGAGATATTTAAGACCTGAACACATAAGCATTTAAATACCTGGATTTATGTTCATTTTTTAACTTGAATGTGATGCTAGGCCTAGACAAGGTGACTAGATCAGGTGTATGAGGTTAGGGCAAGAAGAATAATGGAGCTTACTTGAATTTCTATAGACTTGTGATGTGTATATTGAAATTGCTGAAACAAAAGGAAGCCAACTAAAGTATTTGTGTGCTATTAAGTATTACATTTAGCCAAAAGCTGGTTTTGCTTAGAACAAGAAAAAAGCTGCTTACATGAGGTAACTTGGTTCCTGTCACTCGATCACTGAGCAACCATTCTTCTTGGGTCCCCTCTGCCCCCCAACTTAGCAAAGTTGTATTATCTGGGACCAGTTTTCCTGATTTATTCAACACAGGAGTGAAATGTTCAACTCTCCAGCCACATGTATACAGTTCTAATGCAGGCTGTTTGTAGAAAGCAAATATGCCCTAAAGGATAAACACACCACTTAGCTGGCACAGCTGTACAACTTCTGTATTCAGGCTACAGCAAATGTTTCTTGCCTGCATTCAAAGCCGTTGCTGGCAGGACCTGTGTTGTCCCTGCACTACGATTGGTTGTTCCAGCATTTCTTGTTCATAAAAACCTTCTCCTGCACATGCTCCATCTGCAAATCTTAAACACTGTGAATGTGCTGTGTGCTGTGGGATTTATGTGTCTGCTTCTTGTGCCAGGATGGAATATGCATCTCTGATGTGAATAAGAGATTCTTAAAAGTGACTGTAGCTCTGTGTACAAAATGCAGGACCAAATTTTGTCTCCCCTGTTTATGAGGCAGAGGATGTCTGTGCCCTACAGGTCACTGTCTGCTGGTGGCACTGCCCAGTGTTGTGAGGTGGGTGGCCCAGCATGAGCTGGGATGGTGACCCTGCTTTCTGGGTCTGTCCAATGCTGCTTTGAGCAGGATTCATATCTGCCATGGGCTCATCCTTGTAAAACATCCCTGAGCCTTAGGGAGGGCAGATGCTGACCCTGTTAACAGGGATGTGGGCTTTGGATCCCTCCCTGAGGTGCTCCCTGCCACTTTCCCAGCAGAGTGGGTTCTGTGAGGTCTGAAGGTAAAGCCTGGCTCAAATTGTTCTAAATTAGTGGCTCGAGCCAACCCAACTGGCTCTTTTCCCCTCCTCTTTCTCCCCCTGTTTCTCAAGTGGTTTAGTGATCATTTCTGCTAATTGCCCTGTGCCCAAGGCACAAGGGAGGGGGGAGAAGAATAATGACATCCTTAGAGAGTGTCAGCGATATCCAAAAAAGGGCCACCTGCCCATGGTTTTAGATGTGGAGTTTGGCCTCTGAGTAGTTTTCTTGCAGTTTCTAGGAAAGGGGTGAGCTGAGGAGGTGTGATCAGCACAGCAGTGCTGTTGCAGGGCAGATTGGTGCTGCAGGACCAGCCCTCTCCCGCAGATACAAGGGCTCCTCGGGAGATAGTTGTCCCTCTGTGGTGTGCAGCTCACTCTGGGTGGGGCAGATCATCTGGCCAGTGATGTTTACAGTGTAATAAGGTTTTGTGAAAACAGGCAGTTAATTACACATGACCTACAAACGAATAAAAATAGCTTGGATCTGGATTCTTGCTTTAAAATCTATTTAACAGAGGCATGAAACATTCAGGATTTTTAAACCTGTTTGGGCTTTTTTACCTTTAGAAGTATCAGGAACATTAAGTCCTTCCCTGTTCTTGTTGGATCTCCGATGTGTCATAAGCTTCTCAGCCCTTAATTGAAGGGGTGGGGTGATATATTTTTAACAGATCCCTCCTTCCAAGTGTGTTTATAGGGCTTTTGAGCTAAACAGAGATTAGCAAAAACAAAGCTTTGACAGTGCAAAAATAGTTTCTCCTCAATCAAGTTGTGTTTTTTTGCTCATTCTCCAGTTGGCAAAAACTGAGGTTTTTTCATTTGAAAAGTAACTTTTTGGCTATTAAATTATGCATTAAGAGATAAACTGAATTAAATCCTAACCTGATCCATCTTCTGCTCCATTTAGATCAACTTAAGACAGTCTTTTGAGTATTACTTAGACAAATGAACACACTCGTTTGAGTATTTCCTAAAAATAACTCCTTTTTAAGCAGCAGTTTTATTAAATGCACAGTTCTTCCTTTAACTTAATGCTTCAGCAATCTTGCAGAAGCTCAGACTGTCTCCATGCTAAAGACCACCCCTGCTCAACCGTTCTGCCCTGCCAGGATATATTTGCATCACAGGACTAACCTTCAGGATATGGTATTTGTCAGTCTGAAACATAATAGTCCTGTATCTGGAGAACTAAACTATAAACAGTGTGGCTGCCTTGGCAGGCCCCGGCAACCACCCCAACAGTTTAACTAGCCCAGGGTTTAAGACAACACTGTGCCTGTGTGTCCTGTGATTCATGATGCTAATGCACCTTTATCTATGGGAAGGATTAGGGAAACAAATATAAACTTAATAATCAAATTGGAGTGGGAGCTTAGTAGCGGTATTTCTGAGGACAGAAGCGAGGCATTTTCAGTTCATTTAAGCATTTTGCATTGGATGTGGTTTTTAATCAGGGACTGAAGTTTTCACCATTAGCTTGAACAAGACAGCAGGCTGAGTGGTTTTCATGTGTGTGCCATGGAATATAATTGGGCTGATGAAAGCAAAATATTGCATGAGGAAGGCAGGCATTTTCCACTTAGGTTCTAAATTGTGTTTAGGGCAAGAGACGAGAGAACCACTGATTCTGCAGGCAAAAGTTTTAGAATTTGGTACCTAAATTGGACATATTAGTGCATTTTTATACAGAAGGCTTATATAATTTAGATTGTCAAAAGATAAAATTTGAGTTGTTGAACATGCTGGTTTTGAGGATGGGTTGGCAGAGGATAAAAAAATAAAAAAGGATAAAAATTGTTTCTCTACTACTCCATGTATGAATTTAGCATGTTTTTCTAAAATCATATGGAATCAAGACCTTTATACAGTACAATGTTGTCATGAACCAGAAAGTTTTCTGTGCAACAGAATGACCTTAATTTGGTATCTGTATCATTATCAAGGTAGGGGCAAAAGAAGTGTTCGTAGATTGAATGGTTTGTAGATTGTTCTTCCTGCCCAGCTCCTTTAGAATCGGGTAAGACACTTTGGAGGTAGCTTTTGTTGCTGATACAGGAGACTTTTTTAAGTGATTTCACCAGACTTCTCATGTTGGGATTATCCTATCCAAACGTCATGCTAGTATGACATACCATTGGATATTTCTGTTAAGTCCTTGAATAAAGTGATTTTGTAGGTATTAATTAGAAGTAGTTATCAAACAAATGTTGTCCAGGTGAAAAGTGACAAGAAAAGTAATTATCCTACTGGTTTATGATATCAAAAACATTTGAGTACGAGCTTGCAAAAAAAAAAACAACTGTGGCAACATGGAAGGACTTACCTGGAATGCTCTTTAGGGAAGAGGCTTTAGAATTGCTCAATAGGATTGTTTTGAATATCAGCGAATTTTCATGGTGTTTGTTAAAAGTATCCTGGGAGAGGAGGAAAGCAGCATTAGTAACAATAGGCCAAGGTAAGTGTATTATTAGTTACATAACAAACAAATTGTCAGCTGAGTGTGACAAACCATGCAGGGGCTGATACTAGGAGTGCTGAGATCAAGGAGTGTTTGATTTGTTGTGGAGTGTCCTGGCAGCTGGGCATGAATTTTTTGCCTTCTTAATAAGTCCAGTCAAACTTGGTGCTTTGAT